GCTCTGGAGCTCTGGGAGGATAGTGGTTACGAATCAGGCTGCGAACCTCAAGGTCAGCAGTTTGAAACTACCAGCTGTTCAATGGGAGGAAGATGGGTCTTTCTGCTCCCGTAAAGATTTACAGACTCAGAAACCCTGTTCAGGGTCGCTATGAGTTGGAACCGACTCCACAGCACACAACAACAGCAACAATAACCTACATGACGGGAATGCTAAACTCAGCTAACCAAAGCAAGTAAGATACACCTAGCTGGGAGAGGGAGGTATGAAAATAAATACATATACCATATAGCTCTGGTAGCATAGTGGTTACAAATTGGGCTGCCAACCTCAAGATCAGCAGTTCAAAACTACCAGTGGTTCTGCAGGAGACAGATGAAGCGTTCTGCTCCCGTAAACATTTACAGCTTTGGAAACCCTGTGCAGGGTCACTATGAGTCGGAGCTGACTCCACAGCACATAACAACAACCATATTTATATATGTGAAGTCCTGGTATAGCACTGCAGGTTAATGTGCTGGACTGCAAGGTCAGTTTGAGCCACAATGTCAGTGGTTCAAGTTTACCAGCCACTCCTTGGAAACCCTATACAGAGTCGCTATGATTTGGAACTGATGGCATGTAACAACAACAATAACACACACACACACACACACACACACATTTGCAAATAATACACCATGTACTGGGGAACTGAAGAAAAAAATTCAAGCCTCGACTTTCGTTATTGAAAGGTTCTCTGGGCAAATTATTGAATGATGTAGAATGCATCAAGAGAAGATGGAAGGAATACACAGTCACTGTACCAAAAGGAAATGGTTAATGTTCAACCATTTCAAGAGGTAGCATATGATCAAGAGCCAATGATACTCAGGGAGGAAGTCCAAAGTGCATTGAAGAAATTGGTAAAGAACAAGGCACCAGGAATTGATGGAATCAAAATTGAAATCTTTCAAGAAAGTGAGGCGGCACAGGAGGCACTCACTCATCTCTGCCAAGAAATTTGGAAGACAACTATCTGGCCAACTGATTGGAAGAGATACGTTTTTGTGCCCATTCCAAAGAGAGGTTATCCAAGGGAATGCGGAAATCGTCGGACAATCTCTTTGATATCTCATGCGAGTAAAGTTTTACTAAAGGTAATACAAAAAAGGCTACAACCATACATTGACAGAGAACTTCCAGAGGTTCAAACCGGATTCAGAAGAGGACGTGAAATGAGGGATATCATTGCTGATGTCCGATCTTGGCTGAAAGCATTGAATATCAGAGAGATGTTTATCTATGCTTTATTGACTACACAAAGGCTTTCGATTGTGTAGATCATGACAAGCTATGGACAACATTGAGAAGTATGAGTATTCCTGAACACTTCATGTGTTCATGAGAAATCTGTACCTGGACCAAGAGACAGTTGTTCAAACAGAACATGGGAACACTGAATGTTTTAAAATTAAGAAAGGTGTGCGACAAGGTTGTGTTCTTTCACCATACTTATTCAAACTGTATGCTGAGTAAATCATCTGAGAAGCTGGGTTCTATGAAGAAAAACTTGGCATCAGGATTGGAGGAAGACTCATTAACAACCTGCGATATGCAGATGACACAACCTTGCTTACTGAAAGTGAAGAGGACTTAAAACCTTTACTGATGAAGATCAAAGACCACAGCCTTCAGTATGGATTACATCTCAATGGAAAGAAAACAAATATCCTCACCACTGGACCAATAAACAACATTCTTATCAATGAAGAAAAGATTAAAGTTGTCATGGACTTCATGCTTCTTGGATCAACTATCAGCACTCATGGAAGCAGCAGTCAAGAGATCAAACAACGTATTGCATTAAACAAATCTGCTGCACAAGACCTTTTTAAAGTGTTGAAGAGCAAAGATGTCAGCTTGAGGACTAAGGTGCACCTGACCCAAGCCATGGTATTTTCAATAACCTCATATGCATGTGAAAGCTGGACAGTGAATAAGGAAGACCATAGAAGGAATTGATGCATTTGAGTTATGGTGTTGGAGGGCAATATTGAAAGTGCCATGGGCTGCCAAAAGAACCAATAGATCTGTTTTGGAAGAATTGTAGCCAGAGTGTTCCTTACAGGCCAAGATGGCCAAACTTCATCTCTCATACTTTGGACATATTGTCAGGAGGGAGCAGTCACTGGAGAAGGATATCACGTTTGGTAAGGTGAAGGGTCAGAGGAAAATAAGAACACCCCCAACGAGATGGATTAGCTAAGTGGCAGCATCGATGGACTCAAGCGTGGCAACAATACTGAGGTTGGCCCTGGATCAGGCAGTGTTTCATTCTGCTGTGCATAATGTCGCTATGGGTCGGTACCCACTCGAAGGCACTTAACAACAACACCCATGTAAATAATGTATAAACATTATGTGCAGAAATGATGTAAAAAGTTTCTGGCATAGTGAGTCCATGTACATACTACACATCTCATGAGAAATCTGGAAGTGAATTTCAGCCCCATTCATCCTCATTCAATAGTTTGAAAATGTTACTTTGAATCACCTTTGTTTAATTAGGGTGTAAGCCATAGTCAGGAAGTCCTGGATCAAGTTTGGAGTACCTTTTGTCATGGATTGAATTGTGTTGTCCCTCCCCACCAACACACCCACAAATATGTGTCAATCTGGCTAGCCCATGGTTCCCAGGAGTGTGTGATTGTCCTCCGTTTTGTAGTCTGCTGTAACTAACAAAATGTAACACATTTTGTGATGTGATGTGTTGTAAACCCTAACCTCTGCCTGTGGTTAAGGAGGCATGATTAGGTCTTGTTAAAGAGGATTCCCCTGAGTTTGGCATGCTAATGAGGCAGAATTAGGGTGGGGTGAACCACCCATACTTAAGTCACCACCCTTACTAGGTCACAGCTAGGATCTGATGTAAGGGAACTTCCCTGGGGTGTGGTCTCCACTATCTTCTATCTTATGAGAGATAAAAGGATAGAGAAGCCAGCAGAGAAGGAAGGGCCTCAGTACCCCTAAGAAAGAAAAGCCAGGAGTGGAGTGCATCCTTTGGCCCCTGGGTCCGTGTGCTGAGAACCTCCTAGACCTAAGGGAAGATTGATGCCAAGACACGTGTAGACCTCCAAGCAACACCGGCCCACAGATGTTGAAAGGAGACAACAGAGCCAACACAGAGTAAAAGCCTTCCCCTAGAGCCAGCTCTCTGAACTTGGACTTCTAGTCTCCTGAACTGAGAGAGAATAAATTTCTGCTTGTTAAAACCATCCACTTGTGGTATTTGTTAAGCAGTATTGCTCTGGTAGTGTAGTGGTTACGAATCGGGCTGCGAACCACAAGGTCATCAGTTTGAAACTACCAGCTGTTCCACGGAAGAAAGATGAGGCTTTCTGCTCCTGTAAAGATTTACAGCTTTGGAAACCCTGTACAAGGTCACTATGAGTCAGACACAACTCCACGGCATACAACAACAACAACATTGTTCACTGGAAAATAAACAACTGAAACTGTGTGTTTAGCTCTGGGGCTAGGCCTGAGAGCAATGGAGTTCCTAGTAGCTAATCTGTGCTGGAGATGCACAGAGGACTGAATGGGGCTACCACAGCCTGAGTATCAGCTGGTCCTGCAGTGGGCAGGGGCCACTGTCCACGTGCACATGGGTCCTGCCCCATGTGAAGCTGTGGTGTGGGTGTGGATACCCACTTCCCTGGACCCCAAGGATCCCCAGGCAGCCAGTGAAATCCATCTTGTCCAAATGAGGATGAAAGACTCTTCTGCTCCAAGGTTCTCATGCCCACCCTATGGCATGTTCATGAGCTGGAGATTCAAATGGCCCCAGTGTAGGTAGCTGGCCTGCTTGATGGTGGTGTGCGGTGTGCTGGCTGCAGTGTGCCCTGCCTCACTTGCCTGAGTGCTTAGTCCTGGTTGGACTGGCTGGCTGTCCTGGTGAGGGCTGTTTCCTGGGCAGAAAGAGAGAGCCAGGACGGAATCCTGCCATAGACAGGCTGCTTTAGACACAAGGGTTGGCTGGTGAGGGGCTGCTGTTGGGAACTAAATGGCAACAGGCAACCAAGACAAAGACTTACCGTTAAACCCATTGGATAGGGGACAAAAACAAAAATTAAATTGAAGTCAGCAATATGTAAAAAAATACCAGCATAACGTGCTTAAGATATAGTGGTGGTTGCATGGTATGCAAACATGTCTTGTGTGTTTCTTATTTGCATAAAAAGACAGTATGGGTGCATGTCACAGGTGCTTTGAAAATGTGTTTAGATAGAGAAGTGGGCTGCTAACCACAAGGTCAGCAATTTGAATTGACTAACTGCCCCATGGTAGAAAGATGAGGCTTTCTGCTCCCTCGGAGACTGACAGCCTTGGAAACCCTATCCAGGGTCACTGTGAGTTGGAACCCACTTGACAATACCACCACCACACAGACCCAGAGAGGCCGGAGTCTGTTACAAGCTCTCTGTTGGGCACAGTTTTCATTCCACATTGATTCAATGCTTGCTCCCACTGTATCCCTAAAATGAGGACAGGCAACAAACTGCTTGGCACTGTATACACTGACTGAAAGAAGTTTATTTACAGGGAGAAAACCTCATTTCCATAACATGTAATAACTAGTATAAGCACATTTTAAGAGAAAAGTGTGCATGTTTCCTATCCATCTACCTACTTATTTGGCTACCACATCCTGACAAGATGATTCCAAGCTATTTTCTGCCTCTACCATCAATCTGAGACTTAGGGTTTGCTTTGAGTCCATTTAAATGCTTTGTATTGTTGTTCGGTACCTCTGAGTCAGTTTGGACTCATAGCAACCCTGTATAGGGCTTTTGAGGCTGTAAATCTTTTATGGAAGCACAAAGTCTCACCTTTCCCAACAGTGGCTGCTGGGTTTGAACTGCTGACCCGAGGTTCGCAGTTCAGTGCTTATCCTACAGCACGCAATGCAAATTCTTATTATTACCATGAACCAGAATACTCATACAAAGAATGATTACCTGAACTTCTGAGTTAAATTCTCCAAAATTAAACAGCCTGGACCTTAATTCCAATTCTGCAGCTTTTTCTTCTTCTCTCACACAGTTCGCCTTAAGCATTGCCTTGTGCTCCAAAAGAAACTCTATGTTGCTCTTTCTATTGCAAAAGAAGAAACAGATTCTGTCATTTGTGGTGACATTAGTGAAATAACCATCAGTCAGGACCTTCAACACACTGTCAATTGCCAAAGTCTGGCAAGCCACACATACGTCCATCTTGAAAAATACTGCCACAGCTCATGCACCTTTTCAAGGTAAAATGAGAACAAGAAATGCACACCTGATGCTTCTAACTTCCATCAAGAGGCACTTTCTCCCTCTCTCCTACTTTTGCAGTTCGCTGTGTGTCCCCAGGTACAGAGCGGTAGAGTTGAGGTTCTAGGAACCCATGTGGTGAGGTGATCCATATGGCCACCTTCTCAAGCCTGTCTGATAATCAGAGTATCTGGGAAGCTAAGGGAGAAAAGTAGGAGCTTCTAGAGGTGGTGCGAACAGTGTGCTTGACTGCTTACCAAAAAGTTGGAAGTTTAAGTACACCCAGAGCTGCCTTGGAAGAAAGGCCTAGTAATATATTGCCAAAATATTAACCAGAACCAGTGAAAACCTCCATGGAGCATAGCTCTACTCAGACGTATAGGAGGTCATCGTGACACGGACTCAACTTGACAGCAACTGGTTTCTTTGAGGAAAAAATACAGACTCCTGAATCCCTAGTGGAGAGATTCGGATAAATCTTTACTCTTGTTGCCTGAGTGAGCCCCACCCTTGCAAGCCTACCCTCCCTCACCCCACAAATCATCGTATCAGGGATTGGACACACATGCTGTGAAGACTAGGAGAAGGACTAGGACATAAAGGATAACGGTACTGGACTGTATGAATTAGTGAAGTTTGAATTTTTTCTGAAGTTCATTGTCATTGACCTGTTGTTTAAAAAGACTGCCATCTTCTGGCCTAGTAAACCTTTTGGGAAAAGTCTACACATTTTAATAACTGGTGAGTGTAAAGAACTATTATTCTGTGTCCTGAATTTTATGAGCCTTCCAGCCTCCTTTCCCTTCTTAGAGAAACCCCTTCTTACTCTGATATATTGATATTTATGTTATAAAATGATATGATAATTAATCATAATAAAAACTTTTTATTTAATTAACAACCAAGGAAACTGTACTTATCGGCATTACCACCCAAGCCATGATTCCATTAAGGAAATGACAGCTAACCGAGTGAAAACTACACTGAACAAGAATTAAAGACTGTGGGTGCCATTTCAATTCTTTTAATCTTTAACTGATCATGAAATTAAATTAATTAGACATCTTTTTGCAACTGTAATTTCTTATTGCTAGCTATGAAAATACTGTGTACTATGGCCTGTGTGTTGCTGTGATGCTGGAAGCTATGCCATCGGTATTTGAATACCAGCAAAGTCATCCATGGTAGACAGGTTTCAGTGGAGCTTCAGACTAAGACAGACTTGGAAGGAGAGACAGGCCACTTCTAAATGGTTAGACACTGAAAACCTTATGGATAGCAGCGAACACTGTCTGATACAGTGCTGGAAAATTAGCACCTCAGGTTGGAAGGCATTCAAAATATGACTGATGAAGAGCTGCCTCCCTAAATGGCATTGCATTCATCGCCAATGTTGTCTGTGATAGGCTAATCCCCATACGCTTAAAAGGAAGACCAGTTAAAACGACTATTCAGATTTATGCACAAACCACTGAAACCAGTGATGATGAAATTGAAGAATTCTACCAAATTCTTTGGTCTGAAAGTGATAAAACATGAAATCAAGATGCATTGGTAATACTAGCAAATGGAATGTGAAAGTTGGAAGCATAGTTGGAAAATATGACCTTGGTGATAGAAATGATGCTGAAACTCACATGATAGAACTTTGCAAAACCAACAACTTATTCATTGCAAATACCTTTTTATAAACAACATAAAACATGGTTATACACATGGACTTCACCAGAGGAATGCACAAGAATCCAATTGACAACATCTGAGTGAAAAGATGATGGAGAAGCTCAATGTCTTCAGTCAAAACAAGGCCAGGGGACGGTGGAACAGTTGTTCATATACCAGTTCAGACTGAAGCTGAAGAAAAATTTAAAAAGTCTGCAAGAGCCAAAATATGTTCTTAAATATATTCCACTTGGATTTGGAGACAAGCTCAAGAACGGATGTGATGCATTAGGCAGCAATCACTGAAGACCAGAAGAGTTGTGGTATGACATCCAGAACATGAAGAAACATCAAATACACAAAGAAAGCCAAAGGTCTTCAAGAGGGCAGGCAAGAAAGAAAAGTCCAAAATGAATGTCAGAAGAGACTCCGAAACTTGCTCTTAAGTATAGAGAAACTAAAACAACTAAAAGAAGTGAAGAAGTAAGAGAGTTGAATAGAAAATTTCAAAGAAGATAAAGTCAAGTATTTGTGCAAAGACCTGGAGTAATAAAACCAAAAGAAAAGAATAGACTCTGCATTTCTCAAGCTTATAGAACTGAAGGGAAAATTCAAGCCTCAGGTTGCAATATTGAAGGATTCTATGGTGTGGCACTGCAGGATAATGCTCTGGATCACAAGGTCAGTTTGAACCATAAGGTCGGCAATTCAAACCCACCAGCTGTTCCTAGGAAACCTTATACAGTGTGTCTGTTAGTCAGAACTGACTCATAGGCACTTAACAATAATAACAACAACACATAGACAAAATATTGAATGATGCAGAAAGCATCAGAAGAAGACAAAAGGAAAACAGAGTCACTGTACCAAAAGAATTGGTTGATATTCAACCATTTCAAGAGGTAGCATATGACCAAGAACCATGGTATTAAAGGAAGCAGTCCAAGCTACACTGAAGGCATTGATGAGAAATAAGACTCCAGGAATTTATGGAATACAAATTGAAATGTTCCAAGAAAATGATGCAACACTGGAGGCACTCACTAATTGATGCCAAGGAATATGGAAGACCAATCAATTGGAAGAGATCCATATTTGTGCCCATTCCAAAGAGAGGTGACCCAATGGAATGTGAAAATCATTGAACAATATCATTAATAGCACATGCAAGTAAAATTTTGAATATAATTTTTAAGATTGTTGCAGCAGTATATAGACAGAGAGCTGTCAGATACTCATGCTGGATTCAGAAAAGTACGTGGAACTAGGGAGATTGTTGCTGATGTCAGATGGATCTGGACTAGAAGCGAGAATACCATGAAGGTGTTTACTTGTGCTTTATTAACTATACAAATGGATTATAACAAACTATGCACAATATTGTGAAGATTTGGTATTCCGAAACATTTAATTGTGCTCACAAGGAAACTTTACACAGACAAAGAGGCAGTTGTTTGAACAGAACAAGGGGGTAGCGAATGGTTTAAAATCAGGAAAGGTATTGGGCAGGGTTGTATCCTGTCATCATACTTATTCAATATTTATGCTGAGCAAATAAACCAAGAAGATTAATTATATGAAGAACAATATGGCATCAGGATTGGAGGAAGTCTCATTAACAAGCTGCGGTATGCAGATATAACACAACCTTTCTTGCTGGAAGTGAAGAGGACTTAAAATACTGATGAAAGTCAAAGACTACAGCTTTCAGTATGCACCTCAATGGGAAGTAAACCCAAATCCTCACAACTAGACCAATAAATAGCATCATGATAAATGGAGAAAAGATTGAAGCTGTCAAAAACTTCATTTTGCTTGGATCCACAACCAGCAGTCACCGAAGCAGCAGTCAAGAAATCAACGACGTATTACATTAGGCAGATCTGCTGCAAAAGACCCCTTTGAAGTATTATAGAGCAAAGATGTTAGTTTGAGGACTGAGGTGTGCCTGACCCAAGCCATGGTATTTCCAATGACCTCATATACATGTGAATATTGGACAATGAATAAAGAAGGCCATAGATGAATTGATGTATATCGATGCATCTGAATTATGGTGTTCGGAAAGAATATTGAAAGTACTATGGACTGCTAGAAGAATGTACTTTGGACATGCTGTCAGGAGGGATCAGTTCTTGGAAAAAGACGCCCATGCTTAGTAAAGTAAAGGGTCAACAAAAAAAAAGGAAGGGTTTTGTGTCAACTTGACTAGGTCAGGATTTCCAGAGGTTTAGCAGTTGGGATGTGATTATTCCCATGGAGATGAAACCTAATACAGGCAGAGTTAACGCTGATGAGTGGCTATAAGTGGCTAATCAATTGAAGGGATGCTTCCTTGGGAGTGTGGCCTGCTCCCAATATAATGGACGTGTGTGGGGGTGGTGGGGGGGAAGAGTCTTTCTCTCTTCCGCTGGGGATCTGGGACTCAGCAATTGTAAGCTCTTTCTTTGATAATAAACTTATCTCATTCTATATATACATATATATGTTTCACTGGTTTTGCTTCTCTACAAAACCTGACCTAAGAACATCCAACAAGATGGACTGACACAGTGGCAGAAACAATGGGCTCAAACATAACAACAATTGTAAAGATGGCACAGAGCTGGACAGTGTTTTGTTCAGCTGTGCAAGGGTCACTATGAGTCAGAACCTACTTGAGGGCACCAAAATACAACAACAGGAGAATCCTTTGAGAAGTGAAAGGAAGATAGGGATAAAAATTAAACTGAGAACATATAACTTCTACCTTTGACACCAGACAATGTAAACAATTATTAACAAATATTCCTGCTGAAATTCTTGAGTGGTCTCAAGGAATGGCTATACATGAATGAGTTGAAACTAGTCTCTAGTGAGAAATCATTAATAGAATGAATCTTGTTTTCAATGACTTACATTTTATCCTGTATCATCTTCTCTCTTTTAATCACGTCTTCAAGATTTTCATCTACATCTTGAGCATATTGTACCAAAGTAAGATTCTGCTCTTCCAGTTCTGTGAGAACTTGAAGCAGCTCTTCGGGTTCTTTGAAATAAAGCTCGGGTGCCTACTCAATAAACAATGAAGAATATATTCACTTGAAAATATGTTACCTCTGCACCTGTGACTTATCTAGAAAAAGAAAGTGGCGTTAAGGTATACTGTTCTGCTCATGAGGGAGATGTGGGTACAGAAGTGCAAAGGAGCCATGACTATTTCCAAGGGAAAGCTGCCCCCCCAGCAAGAGGATATTTGATATTTGGAGAAATGGGAGGACTAGAGGGGAGAAACCCAATGTCATCAAGCCAATTCCGACTCTTAGCACCCCAACAGGACAGGGTAGAAATGACCTAAAGAGTTTCCAAATCTAAGTCTTAATGGAAAGACTGGTGCACCTTTTTCCCATGGAGTAGCTGGTGAGTGAAACCACCAATCCTTTAGTTAACAGTCTAGAGAGAAAGGATGATGGTGAGGAAAGATGAAGAAAGAGGGATTTTGTGGAAGAGGAGGTAAGGGGTAGGAAAAAGAGGAAGAGATGGATCTAAGAGAAGGCAAGAGAGAAAGAATAGAGGAAAAAGATAAGAAGTTAAATGAAGGTCATCCCTTCCCACACATTTGAATTCTTTCATATTTTCCCATTTTTTTTAAAAGAATAAGTATGCGTTATTTTAAAGAAACATAGTTTAAAAGTTGACTCGAGGTAAGGTGTGTAACATATAATAATATTGTTTTTGTTTAGTGCCGTGGAGTAGGTTTTGATGACTAGAGACCTTGTGTATGGTTTCCAAAAAGCGGTTGGTGGGTTTGAACTGCCAGTCTTGTGGTTAGCAGTCCAGTGCTGATCCTAAAGCACCACACCCAGGTTCCATATAATAATGGACAGTGCTTTTTAGTGTTTTTTGTTCTTTTGAGTTTCTGGGGTTGTATTTAGAGTGGGATTAGCTCAAAGTCTGTCTTACAGCAACAAAAGCTTATTTTATTGAAGGCTGATTTATCTTATTGTTCTGTTACCCAACATATCTCATGCCCTGAAAAAATGATAAGCATTCATAGAAATATTGATAGGCATTTATAGGACAATTTTAAGTAATATATATATATCTTGAATTTTTAATATTTTGTAGGCACTTATTTTTCATAAAATGTTTGATAACAAAGATGGAGTCCTGCTATGGTGCTGCAGATTAATGGGCTGGACTGTGAAGTCAGTTTGAACCTCAAGGTTGGCAGTTCAAGCTCACCAGCCTCTCCTCAGAAACCCTCTATAGGGTTGCTATAGTTTGGAAGAAATGTAAGCTTGAGGACTAAAGTGTGCCTGACCCAAGCAATGGTATTTTCAATAACCTCATATGGATGCAAAAGCTGGACAGTGAATAAGGAAGATCGTAGAAGAACTGATGCCTTTGACTTGTGGTGTTGGAGGAGAATACTAAAAGTGCCATGGACTGCCAAAAGAACCAATAGATCTGTTTTGGAAGAAGTGCAGCCAGAGTGCTCCTTGGAAGCCAGGATGGCTAAGCTCTGTCTCTCATACTTTGGACATATTGTCAGGAGGGCACAGTCGCTGGAGAAGGATGTCATGCTGGGTAAGATGGAGAGTCAGAGAAAAAGAGGAAGACACCCAATGAGATGGATCAGCCAGGTGGCATCATTGATGGACTCAAGTGTGGCAGCGGTAGTGAGGTTGGCCCAGGGTCAGACATTGTTTCATTCTGCTGTGCATGGGGTCGCTATGAGTCAGTTCTGACTCGATGGCACCTGACAACAACATGGTTTGGAACCGACTCGACAGCATTGAACAACGTCAATATGTGATTATATTTCTTCACTACTACTTCTATGAGTTGTTGTTGTTGTTAGGTGCTTAAGGAAGAGTATCAGAATTATATTTCCTTCTGAAAATTTTGTGGAATATTTGGAACAGAATATTTTAATTTTAGAAGAAGAAACGAACAGTTACAGTTCTCACCAAACATAATATTTAAGTCAAGAAATATGGTTGCTTACCAAATTATACTCCATATCATCATCTAAAAGGAATTCCATGCTGTCTTCTGAACTGATACTTTCAGGCCGGCTGGAAAAGAACAAAGAAAATATCTGATTGCTGCAACTTTTTGGACAACAGATTTGCTTTCATCTCTACCTTATCTTTGGCACCTAATTCTATACAGTTCTTCCATGAGTATGCAAAAGGAAATCAGCACTGGTCACAATAGCAAAATGATGGAAACAACCTAAAGGCCCACCAGGGGAAGAATTGATAAACAAACTTTGATATATACACTCAGTGGAAAACTGTGAAACATTAAAGGATAAAGATGAATCTGTGAAACCCCTTATAATACGGAGGAACCTGGAGGTCATTATGCTGAGTTAACTAAATTCATCACAAAAGGACACATACTATATAAAATAGACCAATATTGTAAGAAGTCTTTTTTTTTTTTTCAAATTGAAAGAGATAATCTGATGACTACCAGGGTTAGGAGGGGAGGGAAGGAAATAAAAGAAGGAAAGAAAAGAAACGTATAACAACATTTGTTTTTTTCCTTTTAAAAATATTCTTCCTGAGAAACGAAAAATGTGTTGTAGTGCTTAAAGCAAAGCTTGTGCCACCAGTTTCTGAATATGTGAGAGTTCAACAATATTAGCCTTTTTAAGAGCAAACTTTACTTATTCTTAAAAAATATCTTCTAATCAGGCTGAGGAAACGTTGATTGGGGAATTGGTAGTGAGGCAGTTTCTTAAAGAATAAGTTTGGCTTGGGAAGTGGTTCTGGGTGAATCTTTTAAGAAGGCAAATTGGGAACTGTGGGAATATTAAAGAGGCAGGAACAAGAAGAGAGTAAGGTAGTTACGAGCTGGAGGCTTGCCCACTGCTGTGCTGCTGAATGGTGTCAGTGGAGTTTCGAGACTAAGCTGGGATAGAAAACAAAACCTGAGGCTCTACTTTTGAAAATCAGCCAATGAAGACCCTATGGATCAGGACTGTCTGGTCTGTAACCAGTCATGGGGCTGGCATAGCACTGGGCAGCATTTAGAACTGTTGGTCATGGGGTTACCATGAGTCAGGAGCCATCAACAACAACACAGTAATTAACATGTTCCTATTAAAGGTAGTGATCATAGAAAAAGTGAGAAAATGGGGGTAGGAGGAATGGAATCTGGAGATACTTAGAATAATGAAATCCAGGTAACCAAGCAAGATAGAAAAGTAGAAGAGATTAAAAAACAAAACAAAACAAATAAAAAAACCATGACCCTGTAGAAGAAGAGATTTAAAAAAAAAAAAACATGTTCTGTAGGATTGTTGTTGTTGTTGTTATGTGCCATCGAGTCGGTTCCGACCCATAGCGACCCTGTATAGGGTTTCCGAGGGTGTAAATCTTTACGGGAGTAGAAAGCCTCATCTTTCTCCCGCGGAGCAGCTGGTAGTTTCGAACCGCTGACCTTAAGGTTCGCAGCCCGATTCGTAACCACTACGCTACCAGAGCGTAGGATAAGACCCTATTTTTATGTTCTGGATTGCTAACCACAAGGTCGGTGGTTAAAACCCATGAGCCACTCTTTGGAAACCTATACAAGGTCACTATGAATTGGAACCTACTCAAATGCACTCAACAAACTACCACAACTATATGTTGTCTATAAGACACTCACTTCAAATATAACACTATAGGTAGCTTAAAAATAAAAGGATGGGGAAATATTTATTAAGCAAACATTAATTAAGAGAAAGCAGAAATGGCTATATTAATATCAGATGAGTACACTTCAGAGCAAAGTAAATTACCAGAGATAGAGGCCAATGAAAATGAACCAATTCATCAAGAAGACAGAGCAATCATCAATGTGTATAAACCAAACAAAAAAGAAGAGAAATAAATGAAACACAAACTGGCAGAAATGAAAGGAGAAGCAGACAAATCCATAATTATAGACACTTTCACACTCCTCAGCAACTGATGGAACAACTAGACAGAAAATTAATAAAGATATATGTCAGTAATATCATCAACCAACAGTTATCTAGTCAAAATTTAGGAAACATTTCACCCATCCTAGCAGAATGCACATTCTTCCCAAGTATCCGTTGGCCATAAAACAAACCTCCAGAGATCAAAAAGAAATGAACTTGTAAAGACTGTGTTCTCTGACCATAATGGAATCAAACCAGAACTCTGTGATGAGAAGGCTAGTATCATTTTCAATGTTTGACTACTGACTTCTTTTTAGACTTCAGCTTCCTTCCCCTTCCCTTTGGCCTAAGATCTGGACAGGATGATAAGAACTCCTGTAAGCTCAACTTCTCCTTTGACATTGGTGGAAATTTTCAACCTTGTGTATGTGGGAACATTTCTCTAATCCCACTATACTCTCTTTCTGCTTTGTCTGAACCGACCCAGACCTGGTGGCATGTGCTTTGTTCTACCTGGAAGCTCCTTGTGTGAGTAATGAACTTTCTCTCAAATTAATTATCTACATGGAGAAATTTTGTGTGGAGGTCTCTTGCTTTTGAAGGAGGACTTTCCAACAAAATCACTAACAGAGAAGAGGAGATATCGCCAAACACGTGGAAACTAAATAACAGATTTCTAAACAGTCCAAGGGCAATGCAAAATACAGCGAAGGTAATGAAAATTAAAATATATCAAAATTTGTGTGATACAGTTAAAACAGTAAGAGGGAAACTAAAATCACTAGATGCTTACATAAGAAAATGTCATATCAAGAATCTATGCTTCTATCTCAGGAACCTAGAAAGAGGCGAGCAAAATAAACACAAAACAAGCAAGAAGAATGAAATTGAAAACAAAAATAACAGAGTTCTAGGAAACCATTGGTACCTTGGAAGAATCTAAAGCAAGAGTGTCAAAGAAAACAAAGAGAAGACAAATGAGCAACATCAAAAACAAGATAGATACTGCACACATGGAAAGGGTAATGAGGAAATGCTAAAACAACTCTACACACATCAATCAACAACTTGATTGACATGGACCAATTCCCTGACAGGCATAATTTACCACAGCTCACCCAGAATAACACATAACTTGAATAGCTTTGCAACTATGAGTAGGAGTAAAGTGGCCCCATGGAATAAGGACTGGACTGATGGATAAGTACTGAACTGTGAACCACAAGGATGGTGGATGGAGACCACCAAGGAAGATAAGGCCTGTGATGCTCACAAACTTTGAAAGCCTCAACAGCATCACTATGAGTTGGAGCTGACTTGGTGGCACTTAACAATAACAAAGTCAGGGTTGTGAAGTAGAGATTTATAAAATTATGCATATAAATGAGTTAATCATCAGGTAAGGGAAGGAATAAAACACTTGGGTTGTTTCTACCTTTTAATTGTTATGAATAGCGCTATAGGGAACATTTGGTGTGAGCTGCATTGTAGCAACTTTGAATAATGTGGTGCAATTATAATACACAGGCCAGCAGCGTAGCTTAATAAGCAATAAGGTAGTGGATTCTGAGAGGCAAAGACCCAGGATACAATGGACAGCCATTTTCCACATCGCTGTTGCAGGCACTCATCAAAGAATGCAAGGGGACCTATGAGAATTCTGTTACCTCAGGAACACACAGAAACAGCAACCAGACCTCCAGCTTCTGTTACAAAGGAGTGGATTTGTAGTACAGAGTATACATATTCCACTTGATCAATAGTCAGCATCCATGGAAGCAGCAGTCAAGACATATTGCATTGGGTAAATCTGCTGCATAAAACCTTTTAAAGTTTTAAAAAGCAAAGCTGTTACTTTGAGAAGTAAGATGTGCCTGACCCAAGCCATGGTTTTCCAATGGCCTCATATGCCTTAGAAAGCTGGACAACGAAATAGGACAAAGAATTGATACATTCAGATTTTAGTGCTGGCAAAGAGTATTTAATATACCATCTTCCATACATCAAGCAAATCAGTCTTAGAAGAAATACCACCAGAATGCTCCTTAGAAGCAAGAATAGTAAATCTTCACTTCAGCTTGCTTACCTTGAACACATTCTCAAGAAAGACCAATCTCTAGAAAAGGGCATCATGTTTAGTAGAGGGTCCACAAAATCAGGAAAGCCCTTAAGATGATGGATTGACATGATAGCTGAAGCAATGAATTCAAACATACCAACAAACGTGAAGATAGTGTAGGACCAGGCACTGTTTTTCTCTGTTATACTTAAGGTCACCAGGAGTTGGAGATGACTGAATAACAACTGCAATATTTGTAGAAAAGCTACACTAGATATTTGCTAAAATTCATTCACACGTTCCAAAAGAGGTAATCTAACATGCACAGTACTTGGTTGAGGATGATTTCTTCTGATCCAGTGAAAGTGTGGTCTTCTTGTGTTGCTTCCCTGTTCACAATGTCCAGGAGACGTCCACATCATTGATGATGGTGGTGGAAAGAAATAGCATGTCATTAACAGCGAGTTCTTATCACACGGTGCCTGGCATTAATTTTTCTGTGTGGGTATGCCCATTAAGTTTTTTTTTTTGCCCATTAATTAAAAAAAAATTTTTTTTTCTATTATTAGAATGACAATCATATCAAAAAGGAGCCCCTTTCTTCCTACTGAAATTAGACTCCAAGCAAAAGTCAAAAATCAAAGGCATACTGGTTGAGGTGCGGGGCATTATCAGAAATAGAATAAAACTATCAAAAAGTCACAGATCAGAGACATAAATTGTGAGATAGATCATGGTTCTATTTATACCTAATTTTAGATATCTTAAACTACAATTCTTTTTGAAAATTTTTATCCAAGGTGAAAATGAAACCAGGCATTTCAGTCATGACGTCTTACAGGGAGACCTACACAATCACCTGGCTGCTTGTTCCCTTTACCCCCTCCCAAGGTCTGGGCCCAACACTGGCCTGAAACTGAGAAGTAGATAAAATTTGTCTCAGATCTTTTCATCCACTGACTCCCAGACAGCTCACAAGGGCATATCAAATGCAGATGCCCACCCCCCCGCCACCCCCTCTCAAGGTCAGGACATAGATAAAGGCTGGTGATCCACTGGCCTCATTTTGGGACAATTCTCAAGGGCCATTCCAGCTCTAGTCTACCTGATTCCTCATGCCAGCACTTTCATGACTCCCAGCCCCTTGTCATGCTGTTTTGTCTTGAAGCCACAAGTGGGCCTCTCTCTCCAACTTCCACATGGCAAACTCCTATGCATACTGCAAAACCCAGCTCAGATGTGACCTTGTCAGTAAAGACTTTTCTAAATGCCTCAGGTAGAGATCATTGTTTTGGTTTCTGCTCTCAGAACCCTCATTGTATAATCAATAGTCTATCACTGTGGAGTCCTGGTGTGGCACTGTTGGATAAGCACTGGACCAAAAGCTAGTTTGAACCACAAGGTCAGCTGTTCAAACTCACCAGCTGCTCCGCAGAAACCCTATACAGGGTTGCTATGAATCAGAACCAACTTGATGACAATTTAACAACAACTACACAATCATAATGTCTAGGTTCTAGGGTGTAGACTGATTCATCTTGGTGTACTCAGGGTCTTGAGTAGCGCCTGCCATATTGTATGCCTCCAGTAAATACATGGTAACATGTGGGAAGGAAAGAAAGAAATGGACAAAGAACCAGATGGGTCTCACCAGCACCGTAATTTACCATCTTAGCTTTTGAGGTGATAGCTGAGCACATACTGCCATAGGTATTAAGGAGTGTTATTTAAACAGAGGGAATTCTATACTGTGCTCAAGATTTCAAAGCCAAGAACACTGACATCACCACCCACCCACTCTATCCCCTCCGAAATGCTCTAACAGGCAAAGCAACATTTCTTAAATAATTTTGATGGAGGACGGAGGGAGGTACTTCCAGGTAAAGATGATGGTGGTATTGAAAGAGTTCTCACAACTGATTGTGGGTATGCTCGAGCTACTTCTGTTTTTATGACAGTTACTTCCCTGAGTCACTGGTCAATGGTAGTCACCTGGTGATAACTAAGCTGGTTTGCTGGGATCTGGGAGTGGGTCTGTCAGTACCAGAAGTCAGGCCTGAATCAGAGGAGAGAGGAGGCTCAGCTAGAAAGAGTCTCGGGGAGTGTGTCAGTTATGGGGCTGGCTAATGGCTGACTCTCTTCCCCTGACTTCCCCTGACTCTGCCTGCTCTGCCCACTCATCCACCTCTCCAGGTAGACTCCTCATCTCCCAGGATGAAGGGTAGAGTGCATACTGTTCTCTATTTTTCAGGTTGGCTGCATCTCTACTTTGAGGTCAGCACCTTCTCTGGTGTTACTTTTGTGAATGAAGTCCCAAATCTCTGAGTTTACCATGGATACTTATCCCTGAAGACACGTCTGAAAATGACATCTTTCGGGATTCCTCCACGATGCTCTCTTTTCTCTTTCCACTTACTAATGATTCTAGAGATTGAACATAAAAAGGAGAAGAGAGAAAATAAAACCCTTCTCAGAATGAGAGTTTATTGTGAAAACTTCCAGGGACAGAAATAACAGCTGGAGGCACGGTAACTAGCAAGGAAATTATACAGATGGAAGGGGTTGGTCTCTGGAATAGGCAGAGTGGACAAGGACTGGCCTGTTGACACTAAGCGATCCCCATTTCCAACATCAGTCTATCATGACTCCTAAAATCTCTTTGTTAGTGATTTGCTCCCCAGGAATAAGAGGCATGTTGGTTTCTGACCATTCTCTATTCAAGTGATAAGTCTGTTGTTGTTATTGTCTTCCGAGGCACCTTCAGGTGGGTTTGAAACACTAACCTTTCAGCTAGTAGTCAGTCATGTGCCACCAGAGAACTGAATCTTAAACTATTAAGCGCAACACTTCCCAGTTTCCCTTTCCATGAGTTCTGTCTTTTGTTAACCCTTAGCTTTAAGCAAGTGTCATCTCTGTGCTCAATACTTTACACACATTACCTGATTTAATCACACTTAGCTTGTAGAGACATATCGGAACTGAGCAGTGTAAACTTCACTGGTGTGTTAGTCAGTGTTTAGCAACCAGCTTTCTGGAGAAAAATACTCCCTAATTTATACAGTTTGCCAATTTCTGTGGTGTAAATATTATTCTGGAGTATGTGTCCTGGTGTGGCTCTGGACCGCAAAGTCACTTTGAACTACAAGGTTAGTGGTTCAAACTCACCAAAGCTCCTTAGAAACCCTATACAGGGTTGCTATGAGTCAGAAGCGACTCAACAACCGTAACAACAAAAAACAACAACATTCTGGAGTATGTGTGGATCAGTTCCTCATTGAAGACTGAAGATCTCCAGAACTGTCTCTCTGTCCTGTACACTCTTCTCCAGGACTCTGTCACAGAAACTCATTGGCCTCCCCAGGGTCCTAGCTCTGTGGGTCTTTTCAATCCAGGGAGCCATTGTGCACTTTAGGATTCCCTTCCTGCTGAACTCTCTCCAATCTGGGGCAAAGTAGGGCTTGCCTTGTTGGCTTCTACTCGCTCAGGGACTTCAGTCCTTCATGGTCTGATGCGCAATATCTGAAAACCAGTTTGCAGTTTTCCCAAACACGAGGGTAAATCTGGTCCTTGTTTCCTTATTATAGCTGCTGGAAATGGACGTCTTCCCTCATTGATTTGTGGTTGCACTTTTACCGTTTATTAAATACAATAGGATTTTTGTGTGATAGATTTAGGGGCTGAATGGTATTCCATCCCTGGCAGGGATTATAAATTTAGAAAGATACTTTGATGCTCTAGGAAGTTGCAGCAGGTTTGGGAGGCAAAGAGATGAAAGCGATACCTAGGAGCAGAATCTTGGATGTGGTGAAACAATGTGAAATTGTTCATTACAGATTACTAAGCAAGCACAAATAAGCCAGTGCTTACCTTGATTATTGGGTAATCCAACTAGTGGTATCATTAGAATTTGTGTCTTTCAGTGTAATAACTCATGGTGTCATCTCTACCCCCCAAAGAACCTCCTCTCATACCAGGCCAGACATTAGAAATGTGCATAATCAGTTTTAATCATAGAATAATATGTTTGGAGGATCGGAGGGTTTACACAGCTGGGGAATTTTCAGGAGAATCCAGAAATCCATTGTTTTCTGGATCAAGACACTCAGCTGTTCCCAGAGCCGCCATCTTGGGAGAGAACATCTTGATTGTATCAGGATTGATAGTATCAGGAGAGAACATTTTGATTGTATCTTGATTATATCAGGATTATATCAAGATTAACATCAAAATTTAAAGTGACAGTATGACATAAAACCAAACGACCACCACTCGTCTGTCTGTCTTGCTGTGGTAGATTGAGTTACTGTGATTCTGAGGGCTCTGCCACTGGTATTTTAAATAACCAGAAGGGTCACCCGTGGTGGACAGGTTTCAGATGAGCTTCCAGACAAAGACAGACTAGGAAGAAAGAGTGACAAACTACTTCCGAATCACTAGTCACTGAAAACTCTATGAATAGCAGAGAAACACTGTCAGATACAGGACCAGAAGGTGGGAAGGCACTCAGAATGCAACTGGGAAAAA